GTGGTTTTTTAACCACAGGCCAAACCCCATTTCTTTCGGGCTAAGGGGTTTGCTACTCTTTCCGCAGGACCCAACGCCCTTTTCCCCTGGACCGCCCTCGTGCCTGGGCGGAGGCCCACATTGAGCACATCATGTTAGTCATCAAAGGAGGCCTCTCTTTGTGCTTTTGTCAAGAGTCTTTCTCTGATCCCCAGTTCTATCCCTGTTCCACAAAGACAAGTCTTGGGCAGGATTTGCTATCACCGGTTTCTGACCAGTGCCCGCATTGGAATCAAGAGGGTTGGAAAGGACTTTGAGTGCCCCCTCTCATCCTTGACGAGAGGTCTCTTTAGAGCGCACGAGTTTCCCTCTCCCCCTCTGGCCTTCGTTGTTCCCTGGAAGATCGGTTGAGATGTCCCGAGCCCTCCCTTGTCACTGTTCCCCACCCCCCCCACTCGGTGCCAAAGTGTCATTGAGAACGAAGCAGACAGGAGAGCTTAGGCCCCAGCAGTGTCTTCCCAGGCCTTGCAGGGTGCGGGGGAGCCATATCTGAAGAGGCCCTTGGTGGACAACCAGGCCCCTTGGGAGACCCCGTGGTTTGCACTTGGCAGAGGGGGCCTTTTTGGGAGCACGGCCAGTTGGGCAGCTGGGCAGTTGAGTTTTTGTCTTGGTGAGTGGCCCCTGCAGCCCTTGGAGGCGCATGCTGGGAGACCTGGATGGGGGAGGAGGAAAGGAGGCAGCCCCCCGCCCCCCAGCTGCTCCCGTAGCCCCTCCTTGAGGGAGGATGGGAGTGAAGGGGAAGTTGACCCATTGTCTCTTTGTTTCAAGCCAGCCCCTTATTTCTAGGCCTCGTGTCCTCATCTGAGGCCTAGTCCTGTTCCTACCCCCCCCCCCCCCCGGCCCCGCCCGGGCTTTGTAGGAATCAGTGAACTAGAGGATGTGAACGACGGTCAGCAAATGAGAGGCACGATGAGCTGCTTGTTGGGGGCTTGGACCCCAGGTGGCCTCTCGCCAGGAAAGACGCCTCAGGCTCGTTTATGAAGGTGTCGAAGCGCCCGGGAGGCCCGAGGATTCACCCCCGGCAGCCATGCCGGCCGCGGTGCTGGTGAAATGTGGCTGCTCGCCAGGCAGCCCAGAGCGGCCCGGCGGTGAGCTTGCCTGCTGGTTCCGGTGTTCCTGAAGGTCGCGGGCACCTTTGCATAGAAGATTCCTGAGACGGAGAGGGTGCCCTCTGCTTCCTTATGCACCAAGCACTGGGCACACAGTGGGCACGCAGAGGGAGTTGGAGCTGGAAGTAACCCTCCAACTCAAAGGCTCTGGGACAGGCTCCCAAGCTACGGCCACAGTCCTTCACGGTGCCGGGCCCTCTGCAATGGGACTTGACAAAGCTCCCAGGAGGCGGAGCCCCATTTCCTACCCTTTGAAGCTGGGGTGGCCCGTGACCTGGGTTGGCCAACAGAACACAGTGGAGGTGATGCTACGCAAGTTCAAGGTGAGGCTCAGAGACCTTCTCTTCACCCTCGTAGGTTGCTCCCCAAGACACCATGAGGTGGTGTCGGAGAGGAGGCCCCTGGGGAGAACCGAGGCCCCTGGCTGACAGCCAGCCCAGCCCGACGTGGGTGAGGCCGTCTGGTCCTCAGGCCGAGCTGGCGTCCCAGCTGGCATCGCTGCTGGATGAGCCGAGGAATCTGGACGAGTAGCCCCCCAGCCCCCCCAAAAGCTTGAAGCTTCAGAAGAAACCCTTGTTGTCTGGGTTTGGGGTGGTTTGTGACAGCACAGGCTAAGTGAGGCCAGAGGAGGGAGGGACTTACCAAGACCCACAGCAAGGCAGAGACCACGCCCGGCTCTGGCCAGGAGTCCCAGCTGCTCCCAGAGCCCTCCCACCAGTGTCTGCGGCACCTTGGTCAGCCCGCCAGCGTGTGAAGTGAAGGGTGTGAGGGAGTCAGTCAGCGGGCCCTCCCCACACCCCTGAGTTATAAAGGGTTGGCTGACTCCACCCAGGGCTCTCCTGTCCATCATCTCTGGGAGGGAGGGAGGGAGGGCTCACCCCGCCCTACAGAGGATGAGCTGAGGCCGAATGGATGGACAACCTGCCGACAGCCACACGGCAGGGAAGTAGCAAAGCTCTGACTCGAACCCACTCAGGCCTCTGAGGCCCACTCAGACCCTTCGCATGGCTCCCAGGAAGGAGAATGGCAGGTGATAGGGTTCCCTGCAGGGTCAGTGTCCACAAAGGGGCACAAACACCCACACATCCATATACACACACAACACACAGGCCTGCCACACGCAATACACATGCATGAATAGCACACACACACATAGCACACACATCCATATACAGACAGGTACCACACGCATCCATACCACACACACAACACACAGGCCTGCCACACGCAATACACATGCATGCATAGCACACACACACACCACACACATCCATATACAGACAGGTACCACACACATCCATACCACACACACAATACACAGGCATGCCACATGCAATACACACATGACACATGCATAGCACACACATGCACAGCACACACACACACCATGCATATACATATCATACACATACATACCACACACATACCACACAGAGACACACTCACATTATGTTGGTCTCTCTTCTTCCCAAACCTCCATCTTCAACCAACCTACCCCAATGGACCATATACTTTATTAAAAATATATAGTTACAAACTCCATTGTCGATTTGGGCTGGGTCCAGGGGCCGGGAGAAACCACAGGGAGGGATGGCCTGTGTCCTTCCCCTCGGGCTCCCACCTCTATACTCAAACCAGCACCATCCAGGGGCCGAGAAGGCTGGCTCTGAGGCTTCAAGGGGGCAGCCAGCTGGGCAGGGACGGGCTAGGCCACACGGGCGGAGGGAGGGTGCACAGAGAGGATGGCACCTCCGTGTCCTGCAGGTACAAATGGCAGAAGGTGGATTTGGTGCCTCCATCTCTCTCCATTTATAGGTATTTACAAAAGAAAGTCATGAGCAACAGGTCACAGTCATGCAAAAGAAACGCACCCATCCCTCCCTCCCCCAAAACTCCCCCCTGCCCACCCCAGACCCCAGGATGCCCACCCTCCAGAAGTCCAGCCGCGTCCCCAAGGTTCTGAGAACAAAGGGAGCACGTCCTTGAAGGGCCGGTGGGGAAAGGATGGTGAGTCCGGGGCCCCGGAACCGCCAGCTGGCAGGCGCTGGGGAACGCGAGCGACAGGGCACAGGGTTCCCGGGGCCCTTCCCAGCTTGGGTTCCAGAGTCAGTAGGAAGGGGTCCCCCAGCTGTGAAGGTCCACGGAGCCAGGGTCAGCTCTGTCCTGAGTGCGGAGGGGGGTCCTGGCACCTCACCCCCCAGCAGAGGCTCTTGTGGAGGCGGCGCGGGCGGGCCGGAGGTCAGATGGCCGACTCCCTGCGGTAGGAGATGCTGTCCAGCGGGAGGGTGGCCTGCATGCGCTCCAGGTCCAGGTGGCTGCCGAACTCCAGCATCCGGATGATGCCCGCCTCCTCCTTGCAGCCCGCCTCCAGGCCCAGGCCCGCCGCCACCGCCGCGGCCGCCGCCGCCGCCTCCTCCTCCATCTCCTCCTCCTCCTGGCTCATGAGGGCCAGCTCGTTCTCGTAGCAGAAGGCACTGGGCGGGGGCGGCGGGGCGGGCAGCACGGTGATCTTGCTCTCCTGCAGCTCCCGGGCGGAGCAGCAGGGCGTGCCCGCCACCTCGTAGGTCTTGTGGAAGCGCGAGTAGTCCACCTTGTAGTGGCTCTTCTCCTCGAAGACCACGGGCTCGAAGCGGTGGCCCCACAGGATCTCGCTGGCCAGGTAGGAGCTGCGGGCCTGGGTGGTCATGGCGGTGGCCTCCACCATGCCCTCCAGGATGACCACGATCTCGAAGTCCTCGGACTCCAGCTCCTCCTTGCCCATGCCGTACAGCGGGCTGTCCTCGTCGATCTCGTGCACGATGATGATGGGCGACACCAGGAAGATGCGGTCCAGGCCGACGTCGTAGCCCACGTTGAGGTCGCGCTGGTCCAGCGGCAGGTACTCGCCCTCCTGGGTCATGTAGGGCTTAATGAGCTGGGCCCGCACGTGGGCCTCCACGATGTGGCTCTTGCGCAGGTTGCCCACGCGCCACATGAGGCACAGCTTGCCGTCGCGCACCGAGATGACCGCGTGGTGGCTGAACAGCAGCGTCTGCGCCCGCTTCTTGGGCCGGGCCATCTTGGCCATGATGGTGCCGATCATGAAGGAGTCGATGACGCAGCCCACGATGGACTGGACCACCACGGCGATGACCGCCAGCGGGCACTCCTCCGTCACGCACCGGAAGCCGTAGCCGATGGTCGTCTGCGTCTCCACCGAGAACAGGAAGGCGCCCAGGAAGCCGTTCACGTGCATGATGCACGGCTTGGGGGTCGCCGGCGCCGCCCCGCCGCCGCCGCCCGCCGGGGCCACCACGGGGCCGGCCTCCAGGTCGCCGTGGAAGAAGGCGATGCACCAGAAGAGGAGGCCGAAGAAGAGCCAGGAGACGAGGAAGGCCGCGGAGAAGATCATGAGCATGTAGCGCCAGCGCGTGTCCACGCAGGTGGTGAAGATGTCCGCCATGTAGCGCTGCGACTTGTTGCTCAGGTTGGCGAAGTAGACGTTGCATTGGCCGTTCTTCTTGACGAAGCGGTTGCGGCGTTTCCGCCGGGGCGCGTGGGGCTGCCCGTTGCGGTTGTGCCCGAGCATGTCCCGAGGCAGGCGAGGTCACCGGGGAAGACACGGGGCCTGGGGGGAGAAGCCAGACACGTGAGATGCTGGGAGCCAGCGGTGGTCATGGAGGGGGGGGAACCCCAGCTCTGGCCGCAAGGCACCCACCAGAGACACTCAGAAGGGAAGCGCCTGGCCTGGCCCGAGGCCTCCTCCGCCCCGGCCAGCAGAATGTGCCAGGGAAGGTGGCTCTGACGACAGGGAGGGGTGTCGGGACCGGGCCAGTGCCTCACGGCCAGCTCAGCTCCAGGACTGGGTCTCTGCCAGGCCAGAAGCTGAGGCCACCAGGATCCAGGGCCCAGTCCAGCCCTCCCGCTGCCCCCTCCAGCCCCCCTTTGCCCACTGCTCCAAGCCCGAGCTTCCTGATGCTCAGCCTGCCACCGGCCGCCCTGAGCAGAGGGAGCCCGAGGGCTCCGGCCCCAGCTCGCCTCCCTGCGTTCACCCTCTGCCTTTTGGGTCTTTCGGGGCAGGATGGTCTCCTGTGCTGTCCAATACGACAGCCACTGGCCACCTGTGGCTCTTCACGTTCACTTAAAATTAAGTAAAAGTTTAACTCAGTCCCACAGCTGCATTAGCCACAGTTCACAGTCCATGCTCGTGGCAGCTGACACAGGACACGCCCTCCACTGCAGGAAGTCCCCGCGGAGAATGCGGGGACCTGCGCCACACCTCGGTTCCTGTCCTGTCCCCAGACTGTTGGGAGCAGTGGGGGGGGGACCCAATGGTGGGCAAGACAGGAAGGGGGGACCCTGAGCGGGGCTCCTGTGTGGGCATCGCCATTCCCATGTCACAGGAAAGGGAAGAGGGGCTCAGAGAGGGGAAGTGACCTGCCCACGGCCACACAGCTGGTGAGTGGCCCAAATCCACGTGTGTCTACCCCTTCTGTCCCCACGTGCTGTCAACTTCGATGAGGTCACTGTGTGGAGACTCAGAGAGGGGAAGGCCTCACACCCACTGTGTCACCTGCGGGTGACGCATCTCACCTCCCTCAGCCCCACTTCCTTCGTTTGTAAAGTGGGGACCTGCGCCCTCCTCACGGGGCCTGAGGAGCGGTAGGTGCTCGACTGTAGCAGGTGCCCTCTGCTGCCTCCCCGCCTCCTGGGGAAGGGGAAGCTGGCGAGAGGCGGGCCTGGGCTGTCAGCATCCCAGCTGTTTCGGCAGAGGTGGCCCCTCACCCCACCGGGTGGCAGGGTGCACCAGCTGGGCCCTCGGAGGGCGGACCCTCCCTCACCCCTCCCTTCCACGGGGGCCCCAGGAGAGAGATGGTGCTGCCTGGGCCCCAGCGGCTGGCAGGGCCGGCCCGAGCCTCGGTTCCTGGTAACATTTTGGCCCAGAATTACATAAGGCTGAAAGTTTCTATTTTCTGTGCTATTCTTCTTCCTGATCTAATTGTGCATCTGTGGCAATGTTTATACACTTCCCCGGTTCAGGACAACTCGGTTGCCGCAGCAACCGGTGCGCGCCAACGCTGTAATTTAGAGATCAGCGGCGCCAGAGCCTGCCTCTTCCAGGAGAAACGCCCTCCCTCAGCCCAGGGAGAGAGCCCTGCCCCCCTCCCCCACGGCCACCCCACCCCTGCGCTGGGTTCTTCTCCCTTCAAAGGAGCTCCCTGGGTCCCCCAGTCCTGGATGGAAGTCCAAGAGCCACCTTGTCACTTGAGGAAGTTACTTGACTGACCGGAGCCTCAGTTTCCTCATCTGGGAAATGGGATGAGTGAGACCCATCAGTCTGACGACCTAACTGGTAATGTTGCCATGTGATGCTGGCCCTTAAGGGGTCATACCTCTACCTGGGCATCCCAGGCTCTCTCTGCTCAACAGCCAGGGTGCCGGGTGCGCCTTCTGGTGAGAGACAGTTTCTAGGGGGGTCTGCCTTCACTAAGCGTCTCTGTCCCTGCTGTCCCACTCTCTTCACTGCCTCCATTACCACCACAGAGGGAACCGGCGCCAGAAGGAACAGAGGATGGCTGATTTCAAGGCCCTCATTTACCTGAGGCCAGGGAAGTCCAGAGCTGGGACAGACTTGCTGAGAGTCCCAGAGTGAGGCCAGGGGCCAGCCCTGAGCCTGGTCTCCTCACTCCCGCTCCAGAGCCCCTGGGGTGAGGCTTGGGGGCCAGGGGAAGAGAGGGGCAGTCCCTTTCATGGATGAGGTCACTGAGGCCCAGAGAGGGTGAGGGCCTTGCCCAAGGTTCTCTGCCCAAAGGGACTGTCCCTCACCTGGCAAGGCTGTCCCCCCCCCCTTCCCGGGTTCTTCCTCTGGCAAGGCTGTCCCCCCCCCCTTCCCGGGTTCTTCCTCTGGCACTTCCTTTAGTCTGAGTGCATCCTGGGGCTCCTTTCCTGGCAGAAGTCTTTCTTTGGGAAAAGGAATGGGGATGGGACATGCTGGCTGCATTTTACAAACTTAATGTCCTTTCTTGGCAACGTGAAGGATTGACAGTGCTGTGCCAGGTACCAATTTTTTAAAAATGTACTGTGTCCTGGCCGGTGTGGCTCGGTGGTTGAATGTCGACTCATGAACCAGGAGGTCAGGGTTCGATTCCTGGGCAGGGCACATGCCTGGATGCAGGTTCAATTCCCAGGAGGCAGCCAGTCAATGATTCTCTCTCATCATTGATGTTTCTATCTCTCTCCCTCTCCCTTCCTCTCTGAAATCAATAAAAATATATTTTTAAAAAAATTTTACTATGTTGTGAACATCTAAAACCTGAGGCCCCTAGTCCAGACGTCACTGGACAACTAGGGAAACTGAGGCAGAGAGCAGGAATGTGGCTCAGTGAGTCGGCAGGGGGCCCAGGGAGATAGTGCAGGTGGCCAGCGGGGCTGTGAGCTCGCTGGACGGCTGCTGCCCGGTCCTTCCTGAGGGGCTGGGGGGGGGGGGTGGGACTGGAGACCCTGCCGGCCAGGGGTCCGAGGAAGAAAAGCTGATAGGGTGGCGGTGGCCCCAGGGGTTCCAGCAACCCAGGCAAGTCTCCCGCGCACCCTCACCACGTGTGGGAGGCGCGGGGGCAGCGCCTCAGGAGGCCCCCAGCCCCAGACAGAAGCAGGGGCGGGTCTGAGACCCAGGGCAGGCTCAGTCCACACGCCCCCTAGAGGGCAGGAGGGAAAGGGCAGAAGCCCACACCAGGGACACTCCGCCAGCCTGCAGGACCTTTCTGCATCTCCTGCTATCAGGTGGGAGAGCAGGGAGGTGAGGCCACGCAGCTCAGTCGTGGGACCCCTGAACCATCATCTGTGGCCGCTCGTAGGGAACAAACCCTCAGGACGGCCGGTCTGTCTCACTGAAGCTTCAGCACCCCTCCGTTGACTTAACAGGCATAACAGGAACCTCCATAGCACAGGCAGGGCTAGGATTTCTCTTCTCAGCTGAAGAATCACGGGTTGGGGTGGGGGTGGGGCGAGGGATGTGGATGGGGGGTCACACGGTAGAAGTGGCAAAGCTGAGATACCGATTCAGGTCTGGCTGGTTCCAGGTCCCTGACTCACCCTGGCCCAGCCCCTCTGCTCTCCAAAGCCCTGGCTGGCTGCGCTGCCTGCCTCAGCCTCCCTGAGCCCGGGCCCTCACTGCCTGCACGCCGGGACTTCTTTTCCATTTTATGAGAATACTGTGCTGGTCGAACACTTGTGCTTGGGGTGGCGAGACCTGGTTCTTGGTCTCAGCCCTGGCACCTCCTAGGGCATCCTCTTTGGCCTCAGTTTCATCTGCAAAATGGAGATGCTGACCACGGCGTCTACCTCACCAGGCCACTGTGGGGGCAAACGCGATCAGCACTCGTAATAGACACATCGGCTGGGGCGTCAACAGGCACAGAATACGGCGATGGAGAAGAAGATGATGGTGATGACTATGTCAGAAAATCTGGCTTCCAGTCCTGGTCCGGCCACTGACTGCTCAAGCCAGATGCTCCCCTCTGTCTGCAAAATGGGGGTGGTAGGGAGCAACTGCTCCCTGGGAGAGCTGGGAAGATGTAATGAAACACGGCGCCCAGCATCGTCTGGAGGGGAGACTGGCTCTTCTACCAGAGGGAGCAGGCCCAGGGGGCCGGCAGGGCAGAGGGACTCACCCAGTGCGCCCAGGAGGGATTCCAGGGGTGGGAAGTGGAAGGAATTCACGCCCTGTCCCACTCCCAGCCCCGGAGGAGCGCAGAGCCTGCCCCGCTCCGGCTCTGGAGGAGGCCTCTCCGGTCTGGCCACCTGGTTGGGGTGGGTGTCCTTTCAGCTCTAACACGCGGGGCTTTGCAGGGGAGGGCAAGGGCCAGGCAGCTGAGCTGTGCTGCTCGGAGTGAATGGGAGCTGAGGAGGGATCTAGCCACGGGGGCGTTGTGGAAGGGTGTCCGCTCCTGCCCATGGCCCTCTGCAGGCCTCTGTCCTGCTCCTTGGACCCCGGGAGGTCTGACTCTCTTCTCCTTGTGAATGTCGAGAGCCCGTGTCTTCCCCCTCCTGGTCCAGTGGCTTCGACTCAGAGTCTCTGTCCACTTTCTGCCTGTGTGACCTTGGGCAAGTCACTTAACCTCTCTGGTCCCTGCACTCCTCATCTTTTGGTGGGGCTAATAATAGTCCTTACCTCACAAGGCTGTGAGGAGGAATAAATAGGACCATGACCGTGCCCATCACGTGCCCAGAACACAGTCAGTGATGGATAGGTGCTCGGAATCACTCCCAGGCCTGAGCGGTCCTTCTCTGGACCTCCTCCCCTGCATTTCAGAGCCCACCCTGTGTCCATCTCACGGCCCTGCCCCGTCTGTTCCAACAGCAGCAGGGGGACCAGGGGAGTGAGAGCAGTGGCCTCAGAACCGCACAGAGCTGGGCTCCAGCAGGTTCCCTGACCTCTCTGAGCCCCCCTGTCTCCACCTGGGAAGGAAGATGGCAATGCCTACCTTGCAGGCGGTCCTGAGGGCCAGACGCGGCTGGTCAATCGTCATAAAAGTGCAGGCCACACAGTGGGTGCTCAATTAATGCTGTTCCTCCCCCACCACTTCTTCTGAACCCTGACATCCCACTGCACACCTAGCCCCTCCCCCC